AAAGAGAATTTTAGACCAATACCCTGATGAACATCGATGTGAAAATCCTCCATAAAATACTGGCAAAACGAATCCAGCAGCACATCAAAAAGCTTATCCACCACGATCAAGTAGGCTTCATCCCTGGGATGCAAGGCTGGTTCAACATACACGAATCAATAAACGTAATCCATCACATAAACAGAACCAATGACAAAAACCACATGATTATCTCAATAGATGCAGAAAAGACCTTTGACAAAATTCAACAGCCCTTCATGCTAAAAACTCTCAATAAACTAGGTACTGATGGAACGTATCTCAAAATAATAAGAGCTATTTCTTACAAACCCACAGCCAATATCATACTAGATGTGCAAAAACTGGAAGCATTCCCTTTGAAAACTGGCACAAGACAGGGATGCCCTCTCTCACCACTCCTATTCAACATAGTGTTGGAAGTTCTGGCCAGGGCAATCAGGCAAGAGAAAGAAATAAAGGGTATTCAACTAGGAAAAGAGGAAATCAAATTGTCCCTGTTTGCAGATGACATGATTGTATATTTAGAAAACCCCATCGTCTCAGCCCAAAATCTCCTTAAGCTGATAAGCAACTTCAGCAAAGTCTCAGGATACAAAATCAATGTGCAAAAATCACAAGCATTCCCATACACAAATAACAGACAATCAGACAGCCAAAGCATGAGTGAACTCCCATTCACAATTGCTACAAAGAGAATAAAATACCTAGGAATCCAGCTTACAAGGGATGTGAAGGACCTCTTCAAGGAGAACTACAAACCACTGTTCAATGAAACAAAAGAGGACACAAACAAATGGAAGAATATTCCTTGTTTACGGACAGGAAGAATCAATATCATGAAAATGGCCATACTGCCCAAGGTAATTTACAGATTCAATGACATCCCCATCAAGCTACCAATGACTTTCTTCACAGAATTGGAAAAAACTACTCTAAAGTTCATATGGAACCAAAAAAGAGCCCGCATTGCCAAGACAATCCTAAGCCAAACGAACAAAGCTGGGGGCATCACGCTACCTGACTTCAAACTATACTACAAGGCTACAGTAACCAAAACAGCATGGTACTAGTACCAAACCAGAGATATAGACCAATGGAACAGAACAGAGGCCTCAGAAAGAACACCACACATCTACAACCATCTGATCTTTGACAAACCTGACAAAAACAAGAAATGGGGAAAGGATTCCCTTTTTAATAAATGGTGCTGGGAAAATTGGCTGGCCATATGTAGAAAGCTGAAACTGGATCCCTTCCTTACACCTTATACAAAAATTAATTCAAGATGGAATAAGGACTTAAATGTTAGACCTAAAACCTTTTACCTTAGAAGATAACCTAGGCAATACCATTCAGGACATAGGCATGGGAAAGGACTTCATGACTAAAACACCAAAAGCAATGGCAACAAAAGCCAAAATAGACAAATGGAATCTAATTAAACTAAAGAGTTTCTGCACAGCAAAAGAAACTACCATCAAAGTGAACAGGTAACCTACAGAATGGGAGAAAATCTTTGCAATCTACCCATCTGACAAAGGGCTAATACCTAGAATCTACAAAGAACTTAAATTTACAAGAAAAAAACAAACAACCCCATCAAAAAGTGGGTGAAGGATATGAACAGACACTTCTCCAAAGAAGACATCTGTGCAGTCAACAGACACATGAAAAAATGCTCATCATCACTGGTCATCAGAGAAATGCAAATCAAAACCACAATGAGATACCATCTCACACCAGTTAGAATGGTGATCATTAAAAAGTCAGGAAACAACAGGTGCTAGAGAGGATGTGGAGAAATAGGAACGCTTTTACATTGTTGGTGGGAGTGTAAACTAGTTCAACCATTGTGAAAGACAGTGTGGCGATTCCTCAAGGATCTAGAACTAGAAATACCATTTGACCCAGACATCCCATTACTGGGTATGTGTTTATTGTGGCACTATTCACAATAGCAAAAACATGGAACCAACCCACATGTCTATCAATGATAGACTGGATTAAGAAAATGTGGCAAATACTCACCATGGAATACTATGCAGCCATAAAAAAGGATGAGTTCATGTCCTTTGTAGCGACATGGATGCAGCTGGAAACCATCATTCTAAGCAGACTGTCACAAGGACAGAAAACCAAACACCGCATGTTCTCACTCACAGGTGGGAATTGAATAATGAGAATACTTGGACACAGCGCGGGGAACATCACACACAGGGGCCTATTTTGCGGTGGGGGAGATGGGGGAGGGACAGCATTAGGAGAAATACCTAATGTAAATGATGAGTTAATGGGTGCAGCACACCAACATGGCACGTGTATACCTATGCAACAAACCCGCACGTTGTGCACATGTACCCTAGAACTTAAAGTAGAATTTTTTAAAAAAATAAAGAATATAGGTTTTGCATATTTATCACCTAAAAAAAAATAGTGAGTCGAGTCAGAATTGGCATATGAGCCATAGTTTCTCAACTTCTGCTTTAGAGGGACATTAATTTTGTAAGACTGTGAAAGATTTCATTCTGCTTTCATCAGATTCTTGAAGAGGTCTATGACACCAAATTTCTAAATTTGTGATTCCCAAAATAACAATTTTCTCCATTAATGTACATGAGATGGTAGAGAACAACCAAACTCATATTCAGAGCCACAACATATAGTTGGACAGTACACCCTATCTCTTCTGTATGGTGATAAGTGGTAGCCATAGCTAGGCTCACTAGGTAAGTGACTTGCTCCTTAAGTATGCTCAGTGAAAATCTGTTTCTCATCAAAATGGCTAATTACTCTAGGCAAATGATAATCATGATATATTTTAATACCCACTGATACCCTTTAGTATGTCCCTGGCATTGTAGTTAGTGCTTTACATGCAATATCTCATGTAATCCTCACAACCATGTGAGAACTGTTATTGTCCCTTTTTTGTTGAATGAGGAGACTGTGGCTTGAAGTGTTTGATAACCTGTCCCAGGTAACAGAACTAGTAAATGCTGGATCTGGGATTTCGATTCAAGTGTTATTCTATAACCTGTGCTCACAATCACTACTGTTTCCCATGGTGAAAAAAAATTGTTTTATTCTACATATGAAATGTGGAAATGGTGAATCCCAAGGTTATACTGTATAATAAACTCCAAATGATATATTGTTATGTACTGGGTGTTGGTATGCCCCAAAAGGTCACATGTTGAGACCCTATCTCCCCCACTGTGATGGTATTAGGAGGTGGGGAGCTTTGGGAAGTGATTAGAATTAGAGGAGGTGATGACGGTGGAACGTTCGTGAATGGGATCAGTAGTGCCCTTATGAATCTTGGGAGAACTTGCTTCCCTCTGCTCTCTGCCATGTGAGAACACAATGAGAAGTAGGCTGTCTACAAGCCAGAAAAGGGCCTTCACCAGAACCTGACCATGCTGGCTCCCTGATCTCAGAATTTCAGTCTCTAGAACTGTAAGAAATAAATATCTGTTGTTTATAAGTCACCCAGTCTATGGTATTTTTTACAGCAGCTCAAACTGACCAAGACATATATGATAAGAATGAGTAGCACTGGCATCTCTTTCTCCCTCTGCATCATCTCGATAGAATGCTTTTCATATACCACGTCACCCAAGACAGGCAAATAAAGGGTTCCAGAATCTAGATGTGTGAACAAAAAGACATTAGCTTTGGAAGGTTTTGGTCCCACTGTTAAGGTGTAGTATGTCTCATCTTCACAAAGATACTCTGGAATTAACAGGCATTTGGAAAAATGACCATACATTATATTCTTGTGAGAATATGGTCACCTGCAGATTATTCAGAGTCTAAAAACTGTAAAACTTGTCTTGATTAGTTAGGAGAGAGGACAGAGGGAAATAGTAAAACTCAAATCAGGTTTGTTATTCAATGACAGTTTTTATGAAGATTAAGTGAGAGGAGGGGGCTGAAATTAGAGACTAAATTCAGGTTTTAAATTAGATAACCTATACACAATGGAAAGAGCTTAGACTCTGATGTCAAGAAGATCTAGGCCATAAACACAACTCTGCTACTCACAAGCTATATGATCTGGGGCAAGTTATTTTAGCTCCCTGAGTCTCAGTCTCTTCATCATAAAATGGGAATAATTACCGATCCAGCAGAGGTTTTTGTTTTGCTTTGTGGGTAAGGGCTGAATGACATAATATACTTCTAGCTCTCTGCATCACAGTATGTGTTTGATAAAGGGTGGATATTATTATTCCCCAACCTCTGAGTTAGTCACCTTTCCTTTGCAATAAGACAACGGGTTTTACAATTCACATTGTACATATAGATAAACCTATGCAAATCCATATGAATACATTGTCAAAATGGTATTAAACACTCTGTCACCTTCTTTGTGATCACAGTAAAATCATGGCAGTATTTGTTTAGAAAGTATAATTGTCACTGTTTGGTTTCACAAAGTATTTATTACCAGTATGGAATACCAGCAACATTATAAGTATTATAATTGATGATATTTCTACTATTCGATGCTGAAAGTTCTTTTGGTGCCTAAACTTAATAAAACTAAACTTAATAAAAATAAAACAGTCTTAAGATTGACAGGGAGACTGATAGGTAAATAGCACAAAAAATGGAAGCTGACATTTCTTTATGTAGGTGTGACTCATCCCTTTAAAATTACAGAATCTAGAAAGGCCCATTTCCCCCACCTGATAAAATAGCTCAAATTTATAAAGTTATATTAAATGCTTCACCCAATCAACGTGTTGGTGCTACTCTATATACTCACATACAAAGATCTATATTATGAACTATGTGGTAATTTAAAGCAATTGCAGGTACCTAAGTACCTCATAACCTATAAAGAAACACAAACCACAGATTGAAAAAGACAAAAATATTTATGGGGAGAACACATCTTAAGTTCAAACCACTAATGATAATGCAATCAAATTATTTAAGAAAAGAATGAAAACAAAATTAACTTATACCCAACAAACCTGAAGTGGATTCTGATTTGGTCTTCGCTTCAGAGCTGAGTTCTGTTGGCAAGGGCACTGAGTGTTTCAAGACGTCAGTTGTTTTTGCAGGTACTTCTATTTCGACAGAGGATCCTAGCTGTTTACCAAACAGATTTTTCCTTCATAAGTAAATCGTTGTAATTCCTTCATCTACTTTCTCATTTTATCCTCGACCTCTGTCCAGTACCCTCATTACAAGCCAACACCCACCCAAACAAAACTCAATGTTGACCGCCTTGCTCCATGTAAACTCTACCTTAGTTTTTTCTTTATATTTAGGGAGTGACTCTTCTTTGCTGCTTTTTGTCCACAGTGATTTAAGTGCTCCAAAAATTTGCTGGCTTGTAGCATATATCTTTTTCCCTGTTACCTAATTAAAACAAAAAGTAAGTCAAATAACATATTTTTAAAAGTTAAAATTAAAAATGTATTTTAGATTTGTCAGGTATTTTATGTGAACACTCAGATCAGAATCAATAAAGATATAAATCTCTAAATCATATAACACAAAGCACCATTTCTAAAATTTTATATGAAAAAATTGTTATGTCATGCAAAGGGTTATAATGTATAATCCGCATTCACACTGTAACATATAAATTTAAAACTATGTCTTTTAAAAAATTTTTTTCAGCTTTAGTGAGATTAGACTGACATATATAAAATTGTATCTATTTAAGGTATATAACATGGTGATTTGATGTAAGTGAAAACTGTATTAACAGAAGTTTGGGGAATATAGTTCGAGATAATAAACTGCTGACTGAGAAAATAAGATTTTTAACATGTTACAAAGTTAATGCTTTTGCTTAAAATTTGATGGTGCTTTCTCCATTCATAAAGAAATAAAAAGCATCAACTAACTCCTCCAAAGAATAATATTCTTTTGCGGTAGAAAGGTAAAATAAACAATGACTGATAAATACACTCAAGAAGAGAATGGGATGCTGGCTGAATTCCTAAAGTTACTGTTATTTTCATTAATCTCTATTTCTCTTTGAAAATCTACTTCTGATTTCTTCTTTTTCCTATTCTTCTCCAATCCTTTTGTTTATTATAGTTAAAGTAATTTCAACAGCCATTGATTTTTCAAGTTTTGAAGATGTTTTGAGGGGTTTTCCAGGATTACAATTTCTACAAACATAAATTTTTTAAAAATTATGTCTCCATCCTCAAATAGAAATATTTATTGTTTTAACTAAGTATATATCTACACTTGAAAAGTTAAGTAATAAACTAATATAAAGAAATTCCTCCTCCTCCCCAAATATAACCTTCGTTAACAGTTATACATATATTCTTCCTGAATTTTCACTCATATATACATTATACATACACAGATTTTAAAACGAATGTAATGTTAATATTTATAGATCTTTCAAAAAAGATGAGGTAAATCTATATGTACTGGCATGAATGAAAGTCCATGATGAACCACTAATTTGAAAAAGTTACAGAACAGATTATACAATCTCAATTAATTTTTCAATTAAATTTTAAAATAAATTACACATTTATTTAGTTTGTTTTCCTTTTCAAATACTTGGGATCACAGTAAACATGTTATTCTGAGATATTATTTTTTTAAAAGCTTGACAATATTTCAAAGGCATGGTTCTATATTACTTTATATACCATAGGTCTACTTTTTAAATTTGCTTCTTAGTTTAGTATTCTATAATGGATGCAACACAATTTGTTGAACAAATTCCCTATTGAGGCACGACGATTTAACAAATCCCCTGTTGGTGAGCATATGGACTGTTTTCCTTTTTGTGGGTAGGGAGATGGCAAGTATAAGCAATGATGAAATTAGTATCCTTATACATACAACTGGGACCATAACCCTTATAGTATTTCCTCAAAATAAATTCCTAGAGCTGAAATTTCTGCACTGAAGAGTACACACATTTTAATTTTTGACAGTATTACCATGTTGCTCTCCAGAAAGTCAGCAATATACTGCAGCAATTTACATTCCCACCAAGAGTATATGTCTGTTTTCCTACCCTATTTACCAACAGTGATATTATAAGTCTTTTAAATCTTTGTCAAATTTAAAGGCTAAAAACCAATATCTAAATGATTTTTCAAATTTGCATTTATTTGTTGATGAAATCAAGTATCTTACGTACATTAGGCCATTTTTGTTTCTTATTTTGTAGACCGCTTGTTCAGGTATTTTTTCATTTTCCCAGAGGGCACATTCATCTTTTGCTCATTGATCTATAGGAGTTCTTAATACATGAAGGATATTAGTACTTTGTCACATATGTTACAAATAGTTTTCCTAGTTTTTCATGTATCCATTAACATTGTGTATGGTAATATTGTAATCTACAGAAATGTATTAATTTTGATGTTGTCAAATATGTCAACTTTTTCTTTGATGGCTTCTAGATTGTAATTTGCTTAAGAAAGCCTTTCCTATCTCAAGATTAAACAGGTATTCCTCTTATTTCTTCTCATACCTTTTATAGTATTCTAGTTTATGGTTAGATGTTTATTCCACCTAGAATTAGTTTTCCCACGATAGTTGGTAAAGGTCTGAGTAATTTTCCAAACAGCCAATTATTCCAACACATTTCTCGGAAAAAAAAAAAAAATCTATCATTTCCATTACACACTGATTTGAAATGCCACCTGTACCACATATCCATCCCTACCCTCATGTGTACAAAGATATACTCAATATAATTGATTGAATATTCTCTTTTGTCTTCTTGATCTATTTTATTATGTATGCTATAGTAACCAATACACAGTAGACAGACAACAAATATTAGGTGAATGAATGTCACACTCCATTCAAATCCAGGGCTTTTGTAGGAACTGAATTAAATTTCTAGATTTTGAAACATCTGCCGTATTTCAACATTTAGTCTTTCATCCAGAAACAGGATATATCTCCAAAGATATTCAAGATTTTTTGTTAAACATTCTTTACATATAAGTGAGATCAAACAGTATTTGTCTTTCTGTGTCTATCTTATTTCACTGAGTAGAATGTCCTCTGGGTTATCCATGCTGTTGCAAATGGCAGAATTTCCATTTTTAATGGCTAAATAGCACTCTGTTGTATATATGTACCGAATTATCTTTATCCGTTTATCTATTGAGAGACACTTAGGTTGTTTCTAATCTTGACTATTGTGAATAATGCTGCAATGAACATGGAGGTGCATATATTTCTTCAAGATACTGATTTAATTTTTTTTTTTTTTTTTGGATATATATGCAGAATAGAAGCAGAGAGTAGAATGGAGGTTGCCAGGGGATAGGAGTGAGGTAAATGAGATGTTGGTCAAAGGGAACAAACTTTCAGTCATAAGATGAACAAGTTCTGGGTATATAATGTGCTGCATGGGTGGTGATGGATGTGTTAATTTGATTGTAATAATCATTACACTATATATGTATGTCAAATCATCATGTTGTACACCTTGAATATATTTAATCTTTATTCATCAATTAAATATTGTGAAAATTTAAAAATACCCTTCAGTAAAGTTTGATAGTTTATTTTTCTTTTAAACAGGCATTAAAACATTATTTGGTAAGTCTATTCTTATATTTTACAGCTTTCAAAGACAGACTACTTGTTACTCATTACATAAGTTAATAATAAAAATATTGTGAGGAAAATTATAAAGAGCAAAGAGTAATTCCATCTTGAAGAGTATTTTCAAAATGATGAATAACTGGAGTGAGTCTTTCATTGTTCAAAGGACCTTCTAGACTATCATTTCTTAAACTTTTTAGTATCATAGACACCTTGGAGAAGCTCTTGAAAGCTATAGGCCCTTTCCTTCAGAAAAATACAGATACAGTAAAAAGCTCTCACCTGACATCCTTTTAGGAGACGTGACTGATTAATAAAATGTTTTTTAAATTTATTATAAATGATGTTTGTAGAATGCTGAACATTCATTCCTATCAGGTGCTCTCCAAAATGCTAAGGTACTATCTTTCGGAAGTTGATTAGTATGCTTATCAAGAGTAAGTTCCCTTTTTCCCCAAGTTGCTACATCAGTTTTACTTATAATTAAACAGTCTAAATGTAACATAATATGATAAAATACAATTATAAAAATAATTATTGTTTCTAGGAAAATTAAGTTAAATGCTTCATAAAGACACAAATGTGAATGGCTAAAAAAATAACTGCTATGAAATTAGAGGTGAGCAAGACAATTATAACAGCTGGGAGAAGTAATAAACACCTAAAAGGATTCTGCACTCATCTTTTTTTTAATGTTTTTAATTGTTCATTCTATTTTAAAGGAACCTAATCTGGAAATTGTAGAAGACATACTACAAACATGGCATACCGTTGGAAAGATGTTATAGATCTTTAACCAGTAGACTAATACTCAAAGAAAAGCCCTACTTCAAAACAGAGAAAAGGAAAGACTTTTTTTTTTTTTTTTTTTTTTTTTTTGAGATGGAGTCTCAATCTGTCGCCCAGGCTGGAGTGCAATGGCGCAATCTCGGCTCACTGCGACCTCTGCTGTCTGGGTTCATGTGATTCTCGTGCCTCAGCCTCCCGAGCAGATGGAATTACAGGCGCCCGCCACCAGGCCTGGCTAATTTTTGTATTTTTACTAGAGATGGGGTTTCACCATATTGGCCAGGCTGAAGAAAGACACTTATGTTTTAATTTGAAGTAAAATTGTGGGTATATATTTTTATATATATTTTTACAACTTGCTGCTTTAACACTTTTGATTAATTGTTAACTACTAGTCCTGATTATGTCAAATAAGGTTTTTCTTGTACACACATGACTTTTCATAAAGTTCTGGAGAGGAGGGTGTGCTACAGACTCTCTAAAGTTCATCATGAATCTCAGGTTTAAAAAATTATATATTTGAATTTTTAAAATATTAAATATGATATTATTATAGTCAAAAGAAAAGCAAGGATTTCAACCCTAAGAATTAAAGTAACAATTATTTACCCCAGAAGAACATTTACAAGTTAATCTCTTATATTAGAAAAATTGCTATTTGAAGTTCAGCAATTCTTTTTTTTCCTTTTGTAAAAGTAAAATTCAATACTTTATTTTAAAAAATAAAAATAAGACACATACTATGATCTCATTCTTACCTGTCTATTCATACATTTGTTTTTCTATCTCTGTGTATGTATGTTAAGATGTCTAGAAGAACATTCCATCCAAATGTGGACATGGATATTTGTATGGATAGATGCATTTTGGGCGATTTTTTTTCCCTAAACTTTCTGAAATATTTAGATTATCTAAAGATAAGCAGGCACAATTTTTAAAAACAACCATGATGTCATTACTCTTAGAAAAAAGAAGAATCAGGGCTGGGCACAGTGGCTCACGCCGGTAATCCCAGCACTTTGGGAGGCTGAGGCAGATGGATCACCTGAAGTCAGGAGTTCGAGACCAGCCTGGCCAACATGGTGAAACTCCGTCTCTACTAAAATTACAAAAATTAGCTGGGCGTGGTGGTGGGCGCCTATAATCCCAGCTACTCGGGAGGCTGAGGCAGGAGAATTACTTGAATCCAGGAGGCGGAGGCTGCAGTGAGCCAAGATTGCGCCATTGCACTCCAGCCTGGGTGACAAGAGCAAGACTCCATCTCAAAAAAACAGAAAAAAAAAAAAAAAGAAGAATCAGAGGAAGCATCATCCACTGGGGGGAGTAATGAACATGGAGGCCAAAAAATCTGAAGCTCAGTATAATGTTGGGCAAATCAGTCACTATGAAACTCCTCTGAGCCACAGTTTCCCTATAGATAAATGAGAAAAGATCAAAGTTGAATTAAATGAGCTTAACGTTTTCTTCTAATACTAGCATTTTATTGATTTCAGTGGTTAATTCCTATGTAAATTATTAAGAAAGTTTTAAAAATAAGTTTACCATGTTATCAATTATTTCAGGTATAAGTAGACTTAATGAATAATGTTCTCTTCCTCTGTTATGAGCTTCTATAGTTTGATCACATTACAAACTACATAGTATACCATATCCTTGACACTCTCAAAATATTGATAGGCAACTTTCTCTACATCAATAGTTAAAGAGATGAAGCAATGGGAATACAAGTACAGAAAGTCCTTCTGGTAACACCACACATTGTTTCAAGCATGAGGGGGATATGTTAACTGTTGGTAATTAAGAGGAGAAGGAAAAGAGGGAGAAAAATGCATAACCCAAAGTTTTCCTTCTCTATCTGAACATGTGTTAAAAATAAAATACTGACAAAAACTGTTCAAATCATTAAAAGAATCTGGATTTGTACTTAAGCTCACAAGAAAAAGACAAAACAACTATAATAAGCATTTATACAGGTGTTTCTTAATTCTAAGTGGTTTCAATATTGAGTTTGTGTGTGTGTGTGTGTGTGTGTGTGTGTGTGTGTGTTTTACGTTCAAAAACCACTGCAGCCAATCTATCAACTGGTTGTTTCTCATGTCAGGTTAATCTGCTGAACCAAACAGCTGCTAGTATTTTAATCTTCTTTTAAATAAAAATTAAAGTTTATATACCTTAATAATGGAGCAGTATTTCTCCCCATAAATTCTAATTCAGTGTCTCTGAACATAATCCTCAAATCTGCCTTTACATTGTTGAATTATATTTAAACAAATTCATCCTATTAAGAATGGCATTTACCATGCTGAGATGCTAATGTGATTTGGCCAACATGAGAGTTGACACCAACTACATCTCTTAAAATTAAATGTTGAAGGTGCTGTGTAACATTTAAATATTGTCACACTGAGAGTTTAAACAAATACTGAAATGTTGCTATTATTTAAAAAGAACTTACCTTAGCAATTATAATGGACTGAACTGGGTAGCAAACAGTTGCTCCTAAAGTGGCCAGTCCCAGAGGATAAGTAATTTTCTTAAACTTGGAACCTATAAAATGCAAATAAATTATTAAACTCCAAATACATGCCACCAGAGACTTGATGTTCTTATACTGTAATGCTTTCTTTGCTCCCCTGGTAAGCCATCACACTCTGTTAAATTACTTTTTATGTAATTATACCAGTCAAGATGGAAGCCAAAATGCCCTTAAGGATCTCAAGTCAATTACCCCTTAGCTGTCATGTCCAATTTAACAAAAGTATTCTCAATCTAATACTGACAATTACCTACACAAAAGGAATGGATGATTTTCTGCTGCTTGAAAGCTAGGTATTTTTCATGTCCTACGAAACCCAAATTTATAACCACAATTTTGCAAGTATCTAATAAAGCATGATAATATAGAGAATTAATTAACTACTGTGTTTGTGACACCATATCAAAGTGAAATGGACTCTCTCTTACGTCTCCTTTTTGATTAAGTATTTAGGAAGGTTAGTTACTCAACTAAATAATCAGCTAAGGACTTTAACAGGTGCATAACTCCTTCATGTCACTGACTTAGAATACTGAATAATAATTGCAAGTAACTTGACATAATTAATGCATATCAAAAAGTGCCTTAACTATGCATCATTTAAGAGTTATTTTCATATCTTTTTTTGGTAACAAAATCCTTTCAAAATATCTTTCAAATAGAATCTCCCTAGGAAATTCAATATATAAAACCTATAAACTTGATGCTGCTGTGACTAACTTTGGGGTAGGAAGCTCTGTATCAAACCCTGGCTGTGTGGCTTTTCCTTTATCCTGATACCACCACTAAACACTTCCATGAAACTAAGGGTTCTACAGAATAGTTTGAAATCCACCACTTTAAGCCATAGCTTAGTTCCAAGTAACTGTTGATTCAAAATAATATGTACGTTAAATGCTTCTCTGAGTATCTTAGACTGTATATATGATCTGGGTAATTGGATGATGGATTTTTAAATTGGGATAAGTACTTTCATGATCTGAAGCAGCTTATACAATCCCTAATCTAAAAAGGGAACAGCCTATCTGGTATATTATACAAATGAAAATGAATGTTTGCAGGCAAATTTGCAGTTTACGTAAGAGAAAAACTAGAGGTCTCTATCGGTCTGGTTTAACTATTATTAAGGAAGCTTTCTATAGTCATGTCTATAATGGACTGAGGTGGGGGGTGGCGGGCGGCCAGGCTGATTCAAACCAGTTTAGCTTTTCTTTAGATTTAGACTTTTGTGGTATGCAGAAAGAGGGTTTAAGTATATTAAAATGTCCTAAGTTGCTCCTTTACTCTAGTCCTGCTCGCTGTTATTCCATTACCTATAGTTAAATTTCTTATTTTATAATTCTAATATCTCTTGATGTAAGTTCCCTTGACTTAACCAAATTCCCCTAATTGTGCTGCTCCTAAACATAGCAGGTGGCAGTTTTTCTTTATGTGTCATTTTAAATATTTTAAAAAGACTTACAGTCATCCTCTCTTTACCTGATAAGAGAGGCCAGTCTGCAAGAAAAAACTACTCTGATATTTGCTGTTCTCCTCTATTTTTAAATAAAATGCATCCTGACAAGCAAATACTAAGGGATTTCATCACCACCACACCAGCGTTGCAAGAGCTCTCAAAGGAGCACTAAACATGGAAAGGAAAAACCATTACCAGCCACTACAAAAACACACTGAAGTACACAGACCAATGGCACTATGAAGCAACTACATTAACAAGTCTGCAAAATTAACCAGCCAGCACCATTATGACAGGATCAAATTCACACATAACAATATTAACCTTAAATGAAAATGGACTAAATGCCCCAATTAAAAGACACAGGATGGCAAGCTGGACAAAAAGACAAGACCCATCAGTGTGCTGTATTCAAGAGACACATCTCATGTGCAAAGACACACACAGACTCAAAATAAAAGGATGGAGGAAAATTTACCAAGCATATGGAAAGCAGATAAAAATCAGGGGTTGCAATCCTAGTGTCTGACAAAACAGACTTTAAACCAACAGATGTCAAAAAACACAAAGAAGGACATTACATAATGGTAAAGGGTTCAATTCAACAAGAAGAGCTAACTATCCTAAATATATATATGCACCCAATACAAGAGCACCCAGATTCATAAAGCAAGTACTTAAAGACCTAAAAAGAGATACAGACCCACACATAATATAGTGGGAGACTGTAATACTCCACTGTCAGTATCAGACAGATCATCGAGACAGAAAATTACCAAAGATATTCGGGACTTGAACTCAACTCTAGATCAAGTGGACCTGATAGACATCTACAGAACTCTCCACTCCAGGAAAAAAACAAAAACAAAAACAGAATACACATTTTTCTCAGTGCCATGTGGCACTTACTCTAAAATTGATCACATAATCGGAAGTAAAACACTCCTCAGCAAATGTAAAAGAACTGAAATCATAACGTCTCTCAGACCACAGCACAATCGAATTAGAACTCAAGATTAAGAAACTCTCTCAAAATCGCACAACTACATGGAAATTGAACAAGCTGTTCTTGAATGACTTCTGGGTAAATAATGAAATTAAGGCAGAAATCAAGACGTTCTTTTAAACTAATGAGAACAAAGAGACAACGTGCCAGAATCTGCAACGCCGCTGAAGTAGTGTTAAGAGGGATATTTATAGCATTAAATGCCCACATCAAAAAGCTAAAAAGATCTCAAATTGACATCCTAACATGACAACTAAAATAACTAGAGAACCAAGAGCCAACAAACCACTGAGCTAGCAGAAGACAAGAAATAACCAAGCTTCAGAGCTGAAGGTGACAGAGGCACAAAAATCCCTTCAAAAAAAAAAAAAAAAAAAATCAACAAATCCAGGAGATGGTTTTATTGAAAAACATCAATAAAATAGACTGCTAGTTATACTAATAAAGAAAAAAGGAGAGAATATTCAAATAAACACAATCTGAAATGATAAGGAGGATACCACCATTGATCCCACAGAAATACAAAACACCATCAGAGAATACTACAACCACATCTATGCAAATATACTATAAAATCTAGAAATGGATAAATTTCTGGACGCATACACCCTCCCAAGACTGAACCAGGAAGAAGTTGAATCCCTGAATAGGCCAGCAAAAAGTTCTGAAATTGAGGCAGTAATAAATATTCTACCAACCAAAAAAACCCCAGGACCAGATGGATTTACATCTGAATGCTATCAGAGGTACAAAGAGGAGCTGGTACCATTTCTTCTGAAACTATTCCAAACAACTGAAAAGGAGGGACTCCTCCCTAACTAATTGTATGAGGCCAGCATCATCCTGATACCAAAACCTGGCAGAGATACAACAAAAAAAAGAAAAAGAAAACTTCAGGCCAATATTCCTTATGAACATCAATGCAAAAATCCTCAATAAAATACTGGCAAACCAAATCCAGAAGCTCATCAAAAAGCTTATCCACCATGATCAAGTTGGCTTCATCCCTGGGATGCAAGGCTGGTTCAACATATGCGAATCAATAAATGTAATTCATCATGTAAAAAGAACTAAAGACAAAAATCACATGATTATCTGAATAGACGGAGAAAAGGCCTTTGATAAAACTCAACATCCCTTCATGTTAAAAACTCTCAATAAACTAGATATTGAAGGAACACACCTCAAAATAATAAGAGCCATTTATGACAAACCTATAGCCAATATCATAATGAATGGGCAAAGCTGGAAGCATTCCCCTTGAAAACTGGCACAAGAAAAGGATGCCCTCTTTCACCACTCTTATTCAACATAGTACTGGAAGTTCTCGCCAGGGCAATCAGGCAAGAGAAAAAAATAAAGGGTACTGAAATAGGAAGAGAAGAAGTCAAATTATCTTTGATTGCAGATGATATGATCCCTGTATCTAGAAAATCCCGTCAACTCAGCCCAAAAGCTTCTTAAGCTGATAAGCAACTTCAGCTAAGCCTCAAGATACAAAAATCAATGTCCAAAATTTGCTAGCATTCCTATACACCAACAACAGGTAAGCAGAGAGCCAAATCACAAATTAACTCCCATTCGCAATTGCCATAAAAGAATAAAATACTTAGGAATACAGTTAACAGGGGAAGTGACAGACCTCTTCAAGGAGAACTACAAACCATTGCTCAAGGAAATCAGAGAAGACAAAAACAAATGGAAAAACTTTCCATGCTCATGGATAGGAAGAAACAATATCGTGAAAATGGCCATACTGCCCAAAGGAATTTACAGATTCAATGCTATTCCCATTCAGTTATCATTGACATTCTTCACAGAATTAGAAAAAACTATTTTAAAATTCACATGGAACCAAAAAAGAGCTCATATAGCCAGGACAACCCTAAGCAAAAAAGAACAAAGCTGGAGCCATCATGCTACCTGATTTCAAACTATACTACAAGGCTACAGTAGCCAAAGCAGCAAGGTATGTGTACAAAAATGGGCACACAGACCAATGGAACAGAATAGAGAACTAAAACCACACATCTACAACCATCTGATCTTTGACAAACCTCACAAAAACAAGCAATGGGGAAATGATTCAATATTTAATAAATGGTGTTGGGAAAACTGGCTAGCCATATGCAGAAAACTGAAATTGGACCCCTTCCTTACACCTCATACAAAAAGTAACTCAAGATGGATTAAAGACTTAAAACATAAAACACAAAACTATAAAAACCCTCAAAGAAAATATAGGCAATACCATTCAGGACATAGGCATGGGCAAAAATTTTATGATGAAATCACCAAAAGCAATCACAACAAAAGCAAAAATTGACAAATGAGATCTACTTAAACTAAAGAGCTTCTGCACAGCAAAAGAAACCATCATCAGAGTGAACAGACAACCTATAGAACGGGAGAAAATTTTTGCAATCTATCCATCTCACAAAGGTCTAATATCCAGAATCTACAAGGAACTTAAGCAAATTTATAAGAAAGAAACTAAGAACCCCATTTAAAAATGGGCAAAGGACATGAACAAACACTTCTCAAAAGAAGACATACATGTGGCCAATAAACATGAAAAAGAGCTCAACATCACTGATCATCAGAGAAATGCAAATCAAAACCACAATGAGATAATATCTCACACCAATCAGAACAGCTTTTACTAAAGTCATAAAATAACAGATGTTGGTGAAGTTGTGGAGAGAAATGAATGCTTTTACATTGTTGGTGGGAATGTAAATTAGTTCAAACATTGTGGAAGATAATGTGGTGATTCCTTAAAGATTTAGAACTGGAAATACCATTTGACCCAGCCATCCCATTACTGGGTATATACCCAAAGGAATATAAATCATTCTATTATAAAGATACATGTATGCATATGTTCACTGCAGCACTATCCACAATAGCAAAGACATGGAATCAACCCAAATGTCCATCAATGATAGACTTATAAAGAAAATGTGGTACATATACACCATGGAATACTATGCTGCCATAAAAAGGAATGAGATCATGTCCTTTGCAGGGACATGGATGAAGCTGGAAAGCCATTATCCTCAGCAAACTAACACAGGAACAGAAAACCAAACACTGCATGTTCTCACTTGTAAGTGGGAGCTGAGCAATGAGAAGACATGGACAGACGGAGGGGAACAACACACACTGGGGCCTGTCATGGGAGGGTGGCGGGAGGACAGCATCAGGAAAAATAGCTGATGAATGCTGGGCTTATACCTCGCTGATGGGTTGACAGGTGCAGAAAACCATCATGGTACACGTTTACCTATGTAACAAATCTGAACATGCTGTACATATACCCTGGAACTTAAAATATAATTTTTTAAAACAAAGGTAAAATGTCTCCTGAGATTCATTATATTTATGTCACTATCTATTAAGAGGTTGAGATCTCCAATTTGAAAAACACTGGGTTAGACTATTCTAGCTCTGACATTTGGAAACACGGTGAATGACCTACGGAACATTTTCTCTTACAAGAATGGTATAAGTATTTTACTGAGAAACGGAGTAATACGTTTTGGACAATTTCCTTCAAAATTTAATTCTTTGAGTCTTATTGTTTTATATTGTGATCTTGGTTTTTAATTATTTCTTACTGAATAATTTATAATACCTATTCAATTAGAAGTTGCTTGCCTACTATAATAAGAAATAGGATATAGGGAGGCATTCATATTAGCTATAGGGAGAGAGTTATGTCCATCCAGATGATATCTATATCTATATCTATATCTATGAACATTCTACCATCCTCTCATGTATATGCTATATATATATGTTATACATATATCTGTTATATATGTTATATATATGAGAGAGAGAGAGAGAGAGATATATATGTTAGAGTTAGGATGCTAGAATGTTCTTATAATTGCACAGCAGTTTTGTACCTAATTATGCCTTGAGTTGAGGCTTTTAGGACTATAGCTGGAAAAACAAACTACAAAGTACCTGACATCAGATTCCAGACTGGCTCAGAGCTGTGCCTTCCAAATATAAGCGATTTAGTTTGGGGACAATGTTTGCCAACTGGAGTGTGGACAAAGGATGACTGAAAGGTGACCAAAATGGCTAGTGACTAGAGAACTACACTAGCTTAGTAAGGGCTTGGAGAAATGAAAACCCTGTATACAAATTTTCATAGCAGCTCTATTCCTAATGACCAAAAGCTGGAAACAACCCAAATGTCCAACAGGTAAGTGATAAAGTAAACTGTGGCACATCCATATTAAGAAATACTACTTAGTAACAAAAAGGAACAAGCTATTGACACATGCAACAATCTTGATAATCTGAGTGAAAGAAGCCAGTCTATGTATGATTCCATTTAGATGGCATTCTCAAAAAGGCAGAGCTAGAGTGACAGAGAACAGATCAGTGTTTCTGGGAGTTAGAAGTGGGAAGAAGGTCTGACTACAGACAGATAGCATGAGGTACTTTTTGAGAATAATATAACTGTTCTGTATCCTGGTTGTGGTGATGGTTACATGACTCTATGTATATATTAAAACTGATAGAATTGTATGAATCTACTGTCATAATTTTGAAATAAAATTTTTTTGAATATACAGCTGTTCCTATTAAAATTATAATCTGTCATTTTGTTTTCCAGGTAACTTTTTTTTAAGACCTTAAGAGTCGCTAACTACCGAAAAAATTTCTTGAGAGTTTTATCTTAACGTAAAAATATATACTAATCACTCAAACTAATTTTCTCAATCATGACCCCCCATATTCTGGGGGCTACTTTAAAGATTTGAGACAGAGATACTGATATATGAGATAAAATTTTATTTTCTCTTGGTCTCATCCTGACCAATGTTGTTAGAACTGACATGGTATCTCATTCTAGTTTTTATCTGCATTTCCCTAATGACTAACGACGTTGAACTGCCTTTGGAATAGCTATAGTTTTGAAAACACAAAGTCCTTATAAAAGTAAGCATGCTGTAATACAGAATCTAAAAATCTTTACAGTAGCCTATCCAGATAATATTCAATAAAGCATATGAGGTTTTCTTATGATCGTAAAATTCAGAAACTAATATCGTGGCATTAAGAGAGAATATGCTCTTAAAAACCCTACCTTTTCTCGCTGAAACCAAGCCCGCCAATCCTGAAACTGTAATAACTCCCATTTTCGGAAGAAAGTCTCGAGGAGGATTCTTCAGATAGACATAAGCATCTCAAGAAATCAGTTAAAAATTAACATAAATAACTGAATTCTACTGGGCATTCTATACAGTTATGATGCAGGAAGGTTAAAGAGATTTGTTAAGATAATAATAAGGTTTAAACATTCTTCAAAAGAGCTATATATAATGACGATATGAGTAGCAACCTAAAAAACTAGATATATTTACTTGTTACGAAATAACATTTTCCTTCTATAGGTGATTTAATATTTCTTTTCTTAATGATACCAGTGGTTATTACTATAAAGAAATGTAATGCTAGAGGACACATCTTAATATGGGTTACCATAAGGTGAATTTCTGACAGTGTATGTATTATATCTCTATAACGAACATGCTTCTGCCCTTATCTGTTCAAACACTGGTAGCCTCCAGTGAGAACCGAAATAGATACTTTATAAAGGAGTTTTGAATAATAGTTTAAGGATATACACAGCTACTAGACCTTGCTTGCCACTACTCCCTAATAATCTCGAGACAGCCACTGCTGTTGGTTAATCATCACTGGGCCTAGATAAAAAGTAGATGAAGAGTAGGTGAAAGTCCAGATTTCTTGGCTTTCTATATATTTAAATTGTTTCTAGTTCCAAAAGTATACTTTTCTATCATAGTTAATTATTTAATGGCAATCACATATTTAATCCTATTCCTAATGATTGATGAGGAATATAATTTTGCATTTATTCCTAATACATGAAATAATGATAATTCAAAAACAAGTCATCAACTTCATGGAAACATTCAAAATTTTAGCTCATCTTTCTATCTCCCATACATATTTACTATGACAACTGGCATAAGCCAAGAATATGAGAAAGCTGTATCTGTTGCTAAATACCATTAACAAGCTAGAGTCAAATAAAATTGCTTTTTAAACATTAGCTTAAATATTCCAGGGTTAGTGATTGCTATAACATTTCCTAGCAGTTGACAGCAAAATACAATGTATTTTAACAGCAAATAGCACTTAAACTAATTAGCAACAATGGAGACATGTTTTTAATTTATGCTTTATGATATATATTATAGACTTAGTAGTTAAAACAGACCTCAGTTTGTATCCTGGCACTACCACTTGTAGTTATGTAACCTCAATAACCTACTTAACCTTTCTAAACCTCAGTTGCCCTCATCTGTAAAATGGGAATAATTATAATACCAATACTAACAAAATTGTGACAAAAATTATGTAAAATGTTTAGTACAACACCTTAGCCAATAATAATTGTTGAATAATGAATACTATTGCTTTGCTATTATTACCAATAAATTGCTATAGAGAGTATCTTCTGAGTTGGCAAATGCATGATAATGGGTAACATACCAAGTTTATTTTTCTCATATTTAAACAAAGCAATTTAAAAACACAATACAACATTTCTAATTATTTACTCACCTACCTTTTCCAAATTGTACTGTATCCATTATCCCATTTTTCACAAAGACATAAACACCCTAAGCAAAAAAAAAAAGGGGAGGGAGAAGACACCTGCATTTCTGAAGCTGTTGATAATGAGACAAAATTGCCTGCACCTCCGAGATTATATTAAAAGGATGACTTAGCATTATGCCCAAATCTAAATCCAGCTTTCCTGTGTATTTACTATCAGAATACTCATTTAACTTAGCTTGTTTTCATTTTCTGCTTTTCATTCTATTTAACATGGATAACATTTATACCATTTTTCTCATATAAATGGATGTCTATGAAATAATCAGAGCAGAAATGATAGTGAAGAAAATAAAGATCTATCATTTTATGTTATAATGAACTAGAAAAATAAATGGAATTTAAATAAAACAAGAAGGGAGGTATATTTCAGTTTAGAAGCAACATCTGATTAATAAAGATGCAGTAGCAATAACATAATGATTTGTGGAGGGAAAAAAAGAACAAAAAGTCTAAAGCAAAGGGCTTCATCTTCCTCCTTTTTCTTATTGTGCATTAGAATGAGGAAAAAAAAAAAATCTAAATTACCTCAGGACAGAAATCATCCTACATAGACTACTGTTTTTCCTGTTTTTAAACAGGAACATAAATTCTCTAGAAATCAAAACTATGTTAATCCATCGGAGGAATTAAAGTTTTAAAGCAAATCTTTAACTTTACCTGTCTCTAAACTGATTTATTTTAGTGCAAAAGAGTGTTAAATATATTTATTGAGTGCTAGGTATTATCTCACTTATATAAGAAAAAAAAAAAAGGAAGTCACAAAATGATTTACTCATGGTCATATTGTACTCTGTTGATGGAACCAGAAAACACAATCCAAATATATGGTCTTCTTCTCTGAACCAGCTGCTATGAAACCATGGGATAAAAACAGAACAAAAAAGACTTTCGAAGCAGAGAAAATAGAGATTATTATATTGGACAGGGAAGAAATAAGTTTTTGTTATAAAGATAGCTTGGTTTTGTAATTTTATCTTAGATATTTTAATGGTTATCAGAGAGATGCAGAGGTTCATCTTGGTTTAAAATTGTACAAATCAGCATAAATGCTAACTGCTATTGAACTACTTTTCTGTAGGGACTCTCTTGAGAATATTTCACCTTCAAAGTTAAAATATCTATTGACCAGTCGATTGGGAATCATTTAACCATTAAGTCATCTTTCAAAAAAATTTTTTTCTTATCTCTGCTAAAGAATTCATTTTTACCACATGGGGTCAGTGCTATCTAAATTTCAAAACACTAAGCTAGCAGTAGTAGAAATTGAATTTGCTCTACATGATTCAAGGTTTAATGTGGAACAAATTTGAGTCAGACGTAATTTTTAAAGAATAGATTACATTTTTAGGGGAAAATTAGAAAAAAAAAAGTGTTTACATTTAGGACAAAATGCATTGGAAATTGTCTTTTTTCAACCTATTTGTTTGAGCATATTAATGGAATAAAACATTCTTTTGAGTCTTAAATTGGATGATAGTTACAATAGCAATTTAAAGACCTCTCAGGAACATTTTATCTCACTGAAGAAAAATTTGAGAACATTATGGAAAATTACGTCTCAGGAAGCTTAAGTCTGAATCATCTAGCTATTGGCATATAGTCATAGGGACATGATTCAGACCATAATTGGTTAAGGTATTTCCCTCTTAGAGCAAACTATTAGTAGTGTGTAGTACAACTAGTACCATAAAAATTGTATGACAAACACAAGTTTTCAAAAATAACATCATATATTTATCAGATATTTGAATGAAATATCATCTGGAATTATCAGAGTTCATTGATTTGGTATTTCACCTAAGCATACATTATTTTTTATAAGCTCATTAGATTTCTTTTTAAAGATAATGGATAGAAGAAACTAAACAAGAACAGTGGTTCACCATCAGGCTATAGTTGGGGAAAAGTCACATGGTTACTAGGTCAGAATGATGAAAACACTGGTACCAACATTAAGACACTGACACTGGAGATACCAATGCTAACACAATTATGTTTATGTGATGATAAAGGAACATTAGTGTTGTATCAGCTTACTCCACCACTCTGCTGATGGATATCACTAATTGAAGGCTAAGCATTAAAGTCACGTGTATTCTAGCTTGCCCAATAGCTTACTGCAGCTAGAATGGTCTTATGGGCTAACCCCAACAAGTAAACAACACTTTGCTTAGCCAAAGAAGAAAATATTCAGAAGTAATCTCAGAACTTCACATAAAAAGTGAGGGATACTGTGTACATGCTAGGTGACACAAATGCTTGCTGAACTACTTTAATTTATGCAGTAGGGGTACAGTAGGTTCAATACAGCCACAAATTATTTGCTGCTACTTCTACTGAGAATTGGCATCTAATTCCCTTCCCTTTAAAACGAAGCTGGCCTTAGTGACTTAACAATAGAATGCTGTAGAAGTGACTTTCATGGACATCTGATGATAGGCAAAAAGCCTGACAAATTCTGCCTAGGGCCACTTGTAACATTGTCTTTAGGAGCCCTGAACTACCCATGTTAAGTTATATCTGACCTATTTGAGATCACCATGCTTGAGAGGCCATGTGTAGGCGTTCTAGTCAATAATCCCAGTTGAACCCAGCCATCCAGCCATCTTTAAAAAGGTGCCAGATATGCAAATAAAGCTGTCTTGGACTGTCTAGATCAGCTCATTTGCCAGATGAACACCACTGGGCCACCTCTGTCAATGTCACATGCAACAGACAAATCATCTGTCTGAACTCAGATCAAATTTGTGACTTACAAAATCATAAGATGTAACATAATGGTTGTGGTTTTAAGCCACTAAGTTTCGGATTAGTTTTCTACACATCAATAGGTAACTGGAACAATTAAATCAGAAACCTCTGATATTAAACCACTACCAGAATTGACTTACCTTGCACCAGCCAATATAACAACCAGTTGCAGTCCGGATGGAAGCAAAGCCCATTTGTAAATGACCAGGCTGCTCTTCAACATATTTAGACTGAAGCGGTGGTGCAGTATATATGGGGAGCTATAGGCAAAAAATGTTCATGTCAAAAACATAAAATAGCTGGACTGTCCGTAACAGCAGTATGGCAGAACAGGAATCCTAATCAGCCTTCTTCCTAAAAACAACTAAAAATGCTGATAAAATACTTTGAAAAAACCATCTTAAATACAGGAATGATGTGGTAGACTATTTAAAACCCAGAAATTAAAAGATGCCAAATATAGTATAATATAGTGGTTCTACTCTTACGTATATTTAGAGAAACTACTGTTTTTGCACACCTAGAGTTATGTATAATAATGTTCACAGCAACATTTTAATTACAACCAACCCAATGTCCATCCACAGTAAAATGGATACATTGGGGCATATTCGTACAAAGAAATATTAGAAATTAGGGGGTAAATATAAAAATTACAGCAACATGGAAAACTTTGGATGAATTTCAGGAATATAAGTTTACTTAAAAAAACCCAAAAAACATATTGCTTAGCAATACAGACATATAAGGTAAAATTTAAAAGTAAAGGAGGGAATAAGAGTAAAAATTCCGGGTAATGATAACCTCTGAATGGAATGAAATGGGAACACAGGGGATTTTGTTTTCCTTTAAATTGGGTAGTAGGCACACAGCTGTACATCATCATCATATTATTATTATTATTCATACCTTTCATATTTTGAACAGCCTTTTTATTCTAATTAGTATTTAATAAAAACAAACATACACAAAAGAACAATGAAAAATTTAACCAGGTAGGGACTTACTTCCTTTTAAAAAAAAACATTTTTTTTTTTTGGCTTTCATATTTAGGGTATAAATCATGCTATGAAGCTTGGTGTTTCATGAAGATATAACTGGAAAGAATCAAGTTTACAAATCAACAGCAAGGGAACTAGATGATTAACGACTTTGGATTTGGTCCTCTATCAACAACAAACATGAAACTATAGTTAACACTATATTGTATTCTTGAAAAATGCTAAGAGTGGGTATAAAATGTCCTCATCACAAAAATGATAACTATTTAAGGTAATACATATATAAAATGAGTTAGTCATTCCATAATGTATATATATTTCAAAGCATTATGCTGTACAAGGTAAATGCATACAATTTTATGTCAGCTTTTTAAATTAAAATTTAAAAGACATATAAACCATAAGACAGTGTCAGTTTGGTAAAGTTTTTCCAGTAGTAAGTCAGAAAAGTCTTGCTTTACCATTAAATGGCTCTTTACTTCCCATACCAGGATTAAAGAGTTAGTGTTTATCTTTCTAGACTAATACTTAGATTTAAATTCACCACATTGGCAACTGTGTGTAATTAGGAAGGTGAGAGATGCATATTTTATATTAAAGATGCATTTTATATATAAAAAGCAGGTGCACTGCAAGTAGAGAAGTTTCCCCTCTCCCCTAGAAAGGAGAGATATATGTGGATGTACTGGTGTTAGAGTGGGCAATGTTATTTACTTACATGTTTGTCCATCATGTTTCTATCCTCTCTATTATTTACACATCCCAATTCCAAACTTTACTACACTCATTGTTCTTATTCTCTCCTCTGTCCCCATCAAAATCTGCTGATTAAGTTTTCTTTTTTTTTTTTTTTTTTTTTTGAGAAAGGGTCTTGCTTTGTCATCCAGGCTAGAAACAGTGGCATGAACACAGCTCACTGCAGCCTCAACCTTCCGGGCTCAAGCAATCCTCCCACCTCAGCATCCTGAGTAGCTGGGACTACAGGCACACCCCCAACAAACCTGGCTAATTTTTGTATTTTTTTGTAGAAACGGGGTTCCACCCTGTGGCCCAAACTGGTCTCCAATTCCTGAGCTCAAGCAATCCGCCCACCTTGGCATCCTAAAGTGCTGGGATTATAAGCATGAGGCACCGTGTCTCACGGATTCAGGATCTTTATCTGTTGCCAATTGTAAACAAAATTTTGTATATGTAGTTTTCTAGGAACAGCATTCAAAGTTCTTATCAGACTCTCAAAGGGGTCAAAATGGTTAAGAACCAGTGTTTTAAAGTATTTTCCTTCTAAGGCATGGGCGTAGTTGAAAGGTTTTTTTTTTTTTTTTTTTTTTTTTTTTTTTTTTGGTTGGGGTTTTTCGTTTTTTCGCCCAGGGTGGGGTGGCGTGGGCAGATCTCAAGTTACCGCAAGCTCCGCCTCCCGGGTTCTAGCCATTCTCCTGCCTCAGCCTCCCGAGTAGCTGGGACTACAGGCGCCCGCCACCTCGCCCGGCTAGTTTTTTGTATTTTTTTTTAGTAGAGACGGGGTTTCACCGGGTTAGCCAGGATGGTTTCGATCTCCTGACCTCGTGATCCGCCCATCTCGGCCTCCCAAAGTGCTGGGATTACAGGCTTGAGCCACCGCGCCCGGCCGTAGTTGAAAGGTTTATGATGACAGGATTTCAGCTCTACTGTAAGAATTTTAAGAGCTAGCCAGTAGGATGTTACTATAGTCTCCACTGAGAAGAGCATTCTCACTATAAATTTTGGAGGCCTAGGGGTTAAATGCCACTTATTGTATAGACAGAAATTGTTTGTTCTCATTTCGAAATTATGATTACATTTAGTAAGCTATAAAACCACATTTAAAATTAAATTGAACCAAAGTAATCAAAACTCTCAAATCAGTATTTTTTCCGTTATTTCTCAGTGACAACAAGCAAATGACAAGAAAATAAGTACAATTCATCTCATAGAGGGATTTTAAAAAGAAATGTTCAGGGATGTCTAGGGCTGGCTATTTACATGCATTCTAATTGCCAGTCATTTTACTGATCTGAACACTATAGATTTCATGGTTAAAAAAATGATTGTCTCATGGTCCTACAGAGTTTCCTATTAAAGAGAGATTTAATTATGTTCACTAGATGGCATATAAGGCAGGATTACATTGAGAATATTTAAAAAGACGCTTAGTGAGAAGAGTTGAACTAAAACAGATTTTCTGTTTAGCTACAAGTTTACCAAAAGATTCAAATAACCAAATAACTAGAACACTTCATTCATAAAGTATTCTGGTTTAGTAGAAGCATTATTATAGATTTAAACAGAAGTACAGCTCACTTTACACAATAAAAGTAGCTAGAAATGTTGCACATAAATCACATTTTAATCCCTTCAGAAATTCTACAGTCCTCAAGGATTGGATCCTGACTTTGTGTATAGTCCCTAGCACGTAGTTGGCAACCAGCTTTGTTTAATGAGTAATTCAATTAAATGATATTTAAAATGTACTTGGGGAATACAATAAATACCAAGGAATACTGTGTATTCCATAATAAACAGCACTACTTTATTTTAAAATTTCAAAAATTAAATTCAGTCATTAGGGATTTATCTTCCTACCTAGATTTGAGCTGTCCAGATATGGGAGTGTCAAGGAAGCCTTAAAATCAACATCCTCCTAAGATTAATAAAAAGAAAAAATTAAAAAAATACTTAGAATCAGTTAGCGGGTAGGGAAATGGCTCTACCCTAGACCATTAATGAAAATAAACTTTAGTAATTAGAACAGTGCCTCACAAATATATAAGAGGAGCTTAGAAAATATTTTTGGTTGAATTTATGAATATTACCTTTATGCATGTTAGTTTGGCAATATTATCACTTTTTTGTGCCTTTTGACCTACACTTCTGCTTCTAGAAATTCATTCTAAGGAAATGGTTATAGACGTATATATAGATTCAACACAAAGTGGTTCAACAAGTACTGAATACAATAGCAATAGCTGGAAATAGTCTACATTTCCAAAAATTTATGAAAATTTTACATTTATTTGATGGTAGTACATTCATACAACAGAATACTTATGACACCATTAAGAGTTCTGCCCAATGTCATCTAACTAGTCAGTCATGGAAGCAGGATTCAAATTCAGGCCTGATTCAAAAACATACTATTAATTGTGTAGATAAACCTTAGGGATGACTTAAAGTGGGAAGAGATAAAAAGCACAATGATGAATAGAATTAGTAACCACAATTACAGCTCAACAGGCTGGCATGATAAGCCAGATCAACAAGGTAAAATTTAAACAGGTATAAATATACCTTCAACAAGTCCAAAAAGTTCAAATGCCTAAGTACAGACTGGGATGAGGCATACCTTACTGGTAGTCCATGTAAAAAGGCTTAATGAATTTTAGAGAACCACATGCTTACTGTATCACGGTCAAAGGCTGCTTATGAGCATGGTTGATTTTGAGCGCTCAAACATAAAAACTAACACGATATTAGGCAGCATTAATAGAAATATAACATCTAGAAGAGGAGAAGTCAGAGACTGACTCTGTCCTGTAGCAGTCAAAACACCTTGGTTCATACATCCAAGTCATGGCACCAAAAACCAAAATGCTTTTTAAAAACAAAAACAAAGTACTTACACCTGAAGAAAACTATCCTGAACATGCTTGGCAGAGGCTGATCATGATAGTGAGGAACTCAGAGCTGTGATGTATGAGAAATGGTTGAGGCAACTAAATGCTTTAAAATGTTTATCCTGGAAGCAAAATTACTTAAAGTATAACTGATATTTAAAGGCTTGTTTTTTGAAAGAGAGAAGTTTTCTGTTTGGCACCAATGCAAGAGATACAGTACCAACAGGTAGAAGTGATTATGAGACTAATTTCTGTCTGACATAAGGAAAGGACCTTACATTAAATGAGAGTATTTAGAAAATGGAATGGGCTCCTTAGACTCCTTTATCTAGAGTTTCATTCACGTAGAAGATATATGGCCACTAAATGTGCCTGCTATAGAGGGAATTACAGTACCATACAGAAGGTTGATCTAGAAAGCATCTAAGGTCACTTCCAAAACTGAGATCTTAATGAATCTCTTAAACTGAAGTTTCCTAATACTGAATGTACCTGTATACGTTTTTCAAGAAAGAAAAATCAGACTGCCTAGAACGTCTAACACCCTCTACTACTTATTGATTATTCATTAAGAAAAACCACCAGTTGTTTTTCATTGGAGTTAGAATTTTAGATGTTTGAGTTACATATTGTCTTTTGAGATACTTCATAACTATTTCTCTCAACTTTTAAAACCTACCTAACAAAGACTTCTAAGACATTTTTGATGAGTAAAGATAATTCTAAAAAATATAGCTTTTGTGTTATCTTGATATTATACAAAGTTCATAAACCTTTGTAGGCAAATTACCTGCTCTGGTTTCACTAGCTGCTTTTTGGATTCCTCTTCTTTGACTGCATGTACACTTACAGATGCATATATCAGACCTGCAGGCATGGTTGTCAGTTTTCCCATCTGAGAAAGATATATCAAAAATACCTTTTTAGTTGAAAAGCTTTCCATCTTCCATTTCCTAATAAATTCTGGAAGAATCTCAGGTAATCTATTGGTTTCACTGTAATATATTAAATATTCAAACACTCCAAATTACTTCATACATTTTTAAGACACAGTTCATAAAATTATCTTCTCATACTGGATGGCAGAGTACTATTTTTACCTGTTTGTTAACTACTTCATAAGGAATATAGCAATATAATATTTATCTGGAATATTATTACATAATAATATAGCAATGTAATAATTACTAAAATCTGAGGGATGGAGTGGGATTGGTCTTGGTATTCATTCAGTCTACAAACATCAGTTGAACACCTACTATGTGCCAGACTCTGGATTTAGTGCTTAGAATATATCAGTGAACAAAACAAAGATTCCTGCTCTCATACAAATGACATTCTAGTAGAGAAGAGACAGGCAATAAACACAATAAACTATATGTTATATTACAAGTTGATAAATGCTCTGGAGAATGTAAAGGATAAGAGTGGTCTGGAGTACTGAGTGATGCAGGCTGCATCTTGAAATACAATTTATATTAACATTATCCATAAAAATGAATTATTTCTATTATAAATCCTTTGCCCCAATTTTCCCAGTGCATTCCCTTTTACCTGTTTCATGCTAAACCTAAAGCAAAAAGTGATCTTTGTTTTAGCTATAACTTGATTTGAATTAAAAATGCAGGAAAAGTACTGACTCTAAGAATAAAGTGTTCTAGTGTTATTCAGGTACCAAAATAATTCCCAAAGATTATCCATTCAGCAAGGCCAAGTGTAAAGCTTTCCAAGGTACAAATATTTTAACACTCTGATTCTTTAGAAGGGAAAGAAGCTTGCTGAATTTTGACAAAGGACATCATGAGGGAAGCAGTCTCCTTGTTTTACACACAAATAAAACTGTGCAACACCTGGAAGAATCATTGGCTAAAGGATTCTAAATGTTCTCCAATGACAGTGATAGTGCCTATACTTCATTTCTGACACTGTTTTTAATATTTTCTGAGAAGAGCAAGGGAAGCTACTCAGGCATCAATCAGTTAAGTAATTTCCTGTTTAAACTGGGCAGGACTCTGATTTAGATTGGGGCTGTAAAAATACAGGGTAAAATTAAGAGTCAACACTAAGAAGATAAGTTTTGTTTATTCTTCTCCCCCATGCCTCCTTCTAGTACAGGAAACACAGTATCACAGAATTATTTATCGATGCATGCTTCCCCAGTTGGTATTCATTAATGAAATAACAAGATTTCCACACCATACTTATGTCAGGTATAATTTAAATGTATATTAAAACTGATGCCAGCAAGTATGGTCCCCATGAACCAGGGAAATTTTGTTAATAAAAGCTCTATACTACAGGAAGGATGTAAAATTTTATAACATTTAAAAGCTTTTTTTGAAATACCTGACTAGACTTTACTTCTTCCTAAGAGACTACTCCCTGGATATAAGACAAATACTTTCAAAGTATGTTAATATCTGAATTTTTTCAACACACTAATGATCACAGAGTATACTCATGTTACTTCATATAATGCAATAATAATATGTAGACTATAAAATAATTTCATAGGTATTGCTTGATAATTATGATCTAGTTAGTATTCCAGATTATGGATTTACTCATTGAGCTCATAGCCTAAAAGTTAATATACCTTGAACATTGCCTAAGTACTTTCTCCACATTTTTTACTCTGTAAGGTAATAGGTTACCTTACAGTTACCATTCTTTCCTACTGTCTTCATAGATTCCTTGACTTTTATTGAGGAGGCAGTATGGCACAACCGAAAAAAAATATGAGCTTAGGGTCGGGAGTGGTGGCTCATGCCTGTAATCCCAGCACTTTGAGAGGCCGAGGCTGGTGGATCACCTGAGGTCAGGAGTTCGAGACCAGCCTGACCAACATGGTGATACCTTGTTTCTACTAAAAATACAAAATTAGCTGAGCGTGGTGGTGCATGCCTGTAATCCCAGCTACTTGGGAGGCTGAGGCAGGAGAATCGCTTGAAACCAGGAGGCAGAAGTTACAGTGAGCCGAAATAGCACCATTGCACTCCAGCCCGGGCGACAAGAGCAAAACTCTGTCTCAAAAAAAAAAAAAAAATTTTATATATATATATATATATGCGCTTAGGAGTTAAACAGAACTTACTGTCTAAACTTGAACAAATTATTGAAGTACTTCAAGTTATGCTGCCCAGTATGGTAACTACTAGCCACATGTGGTCATTTAAATTAAAATTAAAATTATTAATAAATAAAAACTTCAGTTGCATTAGTCTCATTTCAAGTGCTCAATAGCCATAATGTAGACCACAGATATAAAACAAGTTCATCATTGCAGAAATTTCCAGTGGACAGTGATTTCTTAATTAGGTTAACTAAGTACTATTAGGTTAAATATCTGAAAAAATGTGTATGCCATCCTGTTGATTATCACAAGGATTAAATAAGGAGTTATATTAAAACGGCTTACATTTGGTACATAGGCAATTAAGTTTAGTTTCCCATTCCTTCTGTTTGCTGAATAAAAAAATTAAGTGGCTGTGCTTATTCCTTATTTTTCTTTTCACACGTATTGCATGTTAATCAGGCTCTAGTAAGAACAGTGAGAACAATAAAATCTATTCAACATATTTATTACCTCCAAATAAAAAAGGTCGCAAATTTTGTCAAAAGAAATCAGGAAGACTGGCACACTAGGGCATCTGCAAGTCTGTTATACTGGTGAAGTACATGTCACTGTCTTAAAGAGGGAAAGCTAATGGTACAGCACATTGAAAATGTTTGAACGAAGATTGGCAAGCTACAATTCTGGGCTAAATCTGGCCTGGACGCTAAGCTAAAAATGTTTTTAAAAAACATATTTAAAGATATGTAAAAACAAGAATATGTGACAAGAGATCTCATGCATCCTGCAAAGCCTAAAACATTTACCATGAGGCCATTTACAAAAAAAAATGTGCCAGCCTCCAATTTAGAAAACCAAATAAGATATTCAAAAAGTTATCAGAGTTTGGGGTGTTATTAAAAAACTTACAGCCTCATGAGGCTGTCATTAATCAAACAGCATTAAAATTGAGCAGAGATAATTGAGTTTTCACAAGAGGAAAGACCTTGACTTAAAACTATTTTTAACTCAAAATAACTCAAGTCAAAATTACAACTTATTTAAAATCAATGAGAGATTGAAAACTGGCTCTCCACAAAAGATAACAGGTCCTAAAACAGAATTCTCTCACATGGAAATTTACAAACAGCAGGGCTAAAAGATGAGTATGAGGTAACTTACCCATAAGACTCACCCTCTCCAACTGTTCCTGCAATAAAAATAGAGCTGATTCTTGTTATTTCCAGCAGTTTTATTCTATAAAGTAGCTGTGAATACTGATTTACAGAATACTGAACCATTCCTCCAGGGAAAAATGCAGGGTGAGCTTCCTGTGATAGCAAGTTTTTTGAAGGTTTTTTATCATGAACTGATGTTGAATTTTATCAAATGCTTTTTCAGCATCAATTGAAATGATTATACGATTTTGATCCTTCATTCTGTTGATATGATGTAGCACACTGACTGATTTGCATATGCTGAACCGTCCTTGCATCTCTGGGATAAATCCTACTTGGTCATCATGAATGATCTTTTTAATGTGTTTTGGAATTTGGTTTGCTGGTATTTTTGAAGATTTTTGCATCAATATTCATCAGGGATACTGGTCTATAGTTTTCTTGTTTGATGTGTTTTAATATCAGGGTAATATTAGCCTTGTAGAATGAGTTTGGAAGTATTCCCCTCTTCTCTATTTGTCAGAAGAGTTTCAGTAGAACTGGTATTTCTTCTTTAAATATTTGGTAAAATCCAGCAGTGAAGCCATCAAGTCCCAGGCTTCTCCTTCTGGGGAGATTTTTACTACGTCTTCCATCTCACTGTTATTTGCCTGCTCAGATTTTGGATTTCTTCATGGTTCAATGTTGGTAGGTTGCGTGTGTCTGGGAATTTATCCATTTCTTCTAGATTTTCCAATTTATTGGCATATAATTGATCATAGTAGCCACTAATGATCCTTTGAATTTTTGCAGTATTGGCTGAATGTCTTTTTCATCTATTATTTTATTTATTTGGTTGTTCTCTCTCTTTTGTTTTGTTAGTCTAGCTAAAGGTTTGTAAATTTCATCTTTTAAAACAATCATCTTTTTGTTTCATTGATCTTTTGTATTATTTTCTTCATTTCAATTTGATTTATTTCTGCTCTGATCATTATTATTTCTTTTCTTCTACTGATTTTGTATTTGGTTAGCTCTTGTTATTAAGAATTTTTGTTTGGGGAGGTGTGAAGATGGTTGATTAGAAGCAGCCAGTGTATGCTGCTCTCAAGGAGAAGATACACAGTAGCCAGTAAACACAAGCTCTTCCACTGAATCATCCAGGAAGACATGTTGGAATTCATCAAGGGAGCACCATGACGCACAGAGAGCAGAGAAGTGCAAGACAGGACAGCTGCCCACCCAGGACTGGCAGGAAGACAAGGGGGGTTCCCCACCACAGGGAAATGGTAAGTCAGCAAAAGCCCCCAGAGGCTCACACTTATGCCATGAACCTTTGCAATCCTGGACACAGGAGACCCCCACAGACCCTCTATTCCCAAGGCCTCCAGACTGACGCAGGCTGCCTGGAGTTTTCTGGGTGGGCAGAGTTGCCACTCAGGCACATAAGGATGCCCAAGGGCCTTGGACTCCTGAGCACTCTCGCACTAGCTACCATAGATCCACCAACAAGGGAGGCCAGACTCTCTCACATGCCCCCAGGATAGGGGCCATATTCATGGTGCTGAGGAATGGACGGACTGCAGGCTTTGCCTCTGCTACACCTGTCTAGGCAAAGACCACTGGCCTGCGATCCTAACACAATCACACCAACCCCACCTAAGAATTCAGGCCAATAGCAGCTCTGCA